GGGCTGGGGTAGGGGTTTGGGGTGCAGGTTCTAGGCTTGGGCCGGCAGTGAGGGGTTCAGGCTGTGGGAGGGGTAAGGGCTCAGCTTGGGGGTGCAAGGTCTGGGTAGGGTTACCATTTCTCCAATTGGTCCAGGTCACTTTGAATGATGTCTCTCTCTTCCAAATCAGCGGCCACCCCTCCCAGCTTGGGATTGTCTGCAAACTTATTAAGCATCCTCGCTGTGCCAGTATCTAAATCGTGGATGAGGATCGAACAGAACCGGTCCCAGAACAGAGCCCTGTGGAGCCCCACAGGGCCAAGAACTAGGGTTACCATTTCTCCAATTGGTCCAGGTCACTTTGAATGATGTCTCTCTCTTCCAAATCAGCGGCCACCCCTCCCAGCTTGGGATTGTCTGCAAACTTATTAAGCATCCTCGCTGTGCCAGTATCTAAATCGTGGATGAGGATCGAACAGAACCGGTCCCAGAACAGAGCCCTGTGGAGCCCCACAGGGCCAAGAACCGTGACTAGCGACTCCCCTGAGCACAGTTTTAAAGAGAACAAAAGGCCGCGAGCGGGTCGGAACCCCCCGGCCCGGCCAGTCGGTGCGAGACTCGGGGAGCCGGGCGGCAGGTGGGGGACGGGGTCTCAGATGTCCAAAAGGATGGGCCAGGTCACCTATAGCTCCCAGCGCTCTGCCAGCCCCTGCTCTGTGGGAGGCCTCCCACCCCCACAGCTCCCCCAACACCCACCCGCCCTGCTGGGTGGGGCAGAGGGAGGGACAACACTGGAGAAGAGGAGGCAGAGGGAGGGAAGGGAGCAAAGGGGAGCCAGACTCCAAGTGTCTCACTGGCCTGACCCGACCGGCCGCAGGGAAGGCGACACACCAAGGGTGGTTATTGGCTGTCAGGAGGCCCGTGCGCTGCAGCAGCTGCTGAGGAGGTGGGCGTGTTACTGCTCAGGGCGGAGGCAGGGAAATGAAGAACTTTTCTTAGAGCTACACTCCTGCCAGTGACACGTCGTCTCAAGTCCAAAATTGGTTCCCGGGGAGAGATGCAAATCTACGTCCATCGGAGCAGGAGCAGGGCAGAAATCACACACCAGGGCCAGGCCGCTGCACCTGCATATCGAGAGAGCGGGGCATGAGAGCACAGGATGCACAGCTGGGTCCTGAAACCAAACCGGCCGGGGTCTTGCTGGCCACAAGTTCCCTCTTTTGTCTGGGCTTCTGTGGCCGCAAGGGGGCAGATGCTCCATAGATATGGAGGGGGAAATCCAGGCAGAGTGACCTGGGTTTGTTTTTTGCCATGGGCAAAGCTCTCATACTAGGTGGGACAGTCCCTGCCCCAGCTGAGATCAGGGCCCCGTTGTGCCAGGTGCTGCACAGACACAGCGAGAGAAAGTCCGTGTCCCAGCTGAGATCAGGGCCCCGTCGTGCCGGGCGCTGCACAGACACAGCGAGAGACAGACCCTGCCCCAGCTGAGATCAGGGCCCCGTTGTGCCAGGTGCTGCACAGACACAGCGAGAGACAGACCCTGCCCCAGCTGAGATCAGGGCCCCGTTGTGCCAGGTGCTGCACAGACACAGCGAGAGACAGACCCTGCCCCAGCTGAGATCAGGGCCCCGTTGTGCCAGGTGCTGCACAGACACAGCGAGAGACAGACCCTGCCCCAGCTGAGATCAGGGCCCCGTTGTGCCAGGTGCTGCACAGACACAGCGAGAGACAGACCCTGCCCCAGCTGAGATCAGGGCCCCGTTGTGCCAGGTGCTGCACAGACACAGCGAGAGACAGACCCTGCCCCAGCTGAGATCAGGGCCCCGTTGTGCCAGGTGCTGCACAGACACAGCGAGAGACAGACCCTGCCCCAGCTGAGATCAGGGCCCCGTCGTGCCGGGCGCTGCACAGACACAGCGAGAGACCGTCATGTGCCCATTAATCCTGAGGTTGCACAGAGGCATGGTGTAAATTGCCCCACTCTGAACAGATACAGGATGGATTCCTCTCTTCACTTAACAGCTGAAAGGAATGGCAGCCCTGAGAGATTAAATGATTTCCCCCCAGACATTGGAGTCTAGAATAGAGCTGCGCATTGAGCAATCTTCCCTCTATTTTTTTTCTTCCCGTGTGAAGAATAAATTTTGTTCTGTGCACCAAGGCCAGTGTGAATGTGCACCACCAGCAGACACACAAACCTAGTTCTGAGAGCACTGCCAGTCAGCTGGGTGGCATTTGAACCTCTCCCAGGTGCCCGCCCAGGTGCTCAGCTTACTGGGAATGCTGGCACTGGTCAAAGTGGCTTCATGGTAAAGCCAGACTTCTTCCCTCCCCTCCCCCGGTCTCCCTTCCTCCCTTAGCTTTCACTCACCCTTTCGATGGGCACTGCTGCAGGACGGGCTGTGAGGAGTATCTGGAAGGAGAGGAGAAGGAGCAGAGATGTCACCAGGCGGGGACTATACCCCCGTGAGTTCACTAGGCTCCCGGCGTGTCTCGGCCAGGAGGGGGTGCTCTTGTGATGGAAGATCTCGACCTGCCTAGCACGGTGCCTGGATCTGGAGCTGTGGTGGAGAGCGGGGCGGATGTGGCAGGGGAAGGAAAGGACGAGTGAAAGGATTTCACGAGTGCGCAGCCTCTCTCGTGCCGCACGAGGGGCAGAGCACGTGTGAGGGGAATGCTGCAGGGCAGAGGCAGGTTACTGCATGGGCTAACACGGCTGGGCCCACGGTCCCTGGCCAGTTTGAGTCCCCTGCGAAATCTGCCCCCACCACGGAGATGGGTGCCTCTGGGGGTGGGCGGGGACCTTTTCACCCCCCAGTGTAGAGGGAAACCTCTGGCCTCTCCTCCCCCCCACCAGGTGCGACACAGAGATGCAGGGAGCCCTGCCAGCAGGACTCACCCCCCATGCTGAGCTCAATGTGCGCCAGGCACTTCCCGTCCTGGTCTTGCAGCACGTAATTCCCATAGGCCCCCGGGCCGACGTTCCCCATCCAGAAGGTGCCCTGCGAGACTGAGACATTCTCCTGGAATTCCTTGCTGAGTTTCATAAGTTCCCCCCCGATGAAGCTGTAGATGTGATCCCATTGGGCCGTTGACCCGTTCTGCATGCACAGGTCCAGGGTGGTCTCCGAGGTGTTGAGGGGGATGCTCACCGAGTCCCCTTTGGAGACACATCTGGACACGTGCGGGCACTTTTCAGGGCCTGAAGCAGCAAACACAGCTGTAATCGCTCGGGGGG